CATACAAAACATAATGCAATTGCTACCAGTTTTCCACCAGTCCAACGTCTGCGAGGGTTATTAAGGATGTAAATCAAAGCACACCGCAATGCTGCATGAGTATAGCTCTATAAATAACCCTTATGTAATTCATCTGACTTATTTGGAAGGAAACAATGTGACTCATGCAATCACGAAGCACACCATTACGGCAAATTAGCTTTGTAGTGCGTAATACTCACCTCCTTACAAAGACAAGACTCAACACTTTCAAGGCAAAGCTTAATATAACTGTATTTTACACACAGCGTGTCCAAACGATTAGTTGAAACTGGAAAAAAAATGCAAAAGTTTGTTTGCTTAACAAACACGTAACCACCTGGATTCCATGGCGGCGCTGATCCCAAACATACAGTTTAATGCATAATACTGTTTGATGTTAAGTACAAAGGTTTGGCTGCCTGAAGGGACAGCGGAGATTTAAAAATGTTAATTGCATGAGAAGTTCCCTTTTCCCTCTGCCAGCTGTTTGGGAGGAGGGAAGCACAGGGTGGTGGCAGAGAGACAACAACGTCCATGCTAATTCGGCAACAGCAGAATGGAGTCTTCAGCCAATCGGCCAGAGGCTGTGGCAAATGTGAGCCGCTCGGAGCACAGTGTGGCAAAAATGAGCAAAATGTACTGGTGACCGTCTGATAAAGAAAGCCTGAGGAGGCAAGGCAAAAAGGAGCCATAAAACGAACGGCCTCCTGCCTCATAAATAACACTAACATAAATGTCACATGAACTTTATTTCGAAAGAGGGCGGTCTAATAAAGACGCTGTTTTAAAAAAGTCGTATCCTCTGCTTTTCCACTCGCTATTACTCAAGCCGCGATGACACGCGAGATCTCGCCTGGCCACCTTTCCGCGCCTAAACCCGCTTCACGTCACCTTTTCCCTGGGTCTGCCACCGGTACTCTCTGGTTTTTCTCTCAATCCCCCTTTCGTCTTGCTCTCGCTCTCTCTCTTGTTCTCACTCTTTTCAAATTGAGACGACAAGATAAGCGATTGCCACAGCTACAGCTGCCTGCTGCTCATTGATAAAACCATATCTAATCCGTCTTGGGCTCCCTACGCCTCCGATGCACTCCTCTCACAGTCTCAGAGTCTGTCAACTATCTCTCTTTTTGAACTCTCAACCACGGCGTCAGCTTTTATCAGTGAACTTTTGGGCTAGGAAATGGGGAGCGAATGAGACTTGTGTCCTCGTCGAGCACACATTGGGGGTCCCATCACGCTCGAGGAGATGACGTCAGCCTTTTCTCTGCCATTTGACGCCATCTCCAACCGCTCTTGTGCTGCTGATTATAAATAAATGACATGATTTTGATCAATCCGGCTTTTGCACAACAGCAAATAATCTTGGGATAAAAGTGCATGATGTATTTTTCATTTTAAGCAGCGTTGGATTGCTCATGTTTATTCATGAGGCTGTCAGTTTGGAAGCTTTCAGGTTTTTCAGCTTGTGCTTTGACAATAGAATAAATGATAGATTTTGTGTACAAAGAATTGTTTGCTTGAACGTATGAAGTTGAAGTGAAAAGAAACAGTGCGATAAGATTGACTTCAGAATTCCCTCTCGGATTTCTCGTATATCATTTGCTGTCTGTTGTAACTGAATTACCTGAGAGCAATTTAGCTTCCAGATAGAGGGGAAAAGAAATATATTACCAAAAAAATAAAAAAAAGTGTCCACTCTGCCAATTAACCCAGTTCCCAAATGACACAGACGTCGTGCTCCCATTTACAAGGCTGATTTTATGAAGCCTGAGATGCATCCATTGCAGAATATTAATGAGCCACAGAGCAATCACTTAGCATATGCAAATCACTGCTAGTGTTATAGTTTGTTCCTTTCTACAAGATAATGCACAAGAGCGGCCCATTACCAAGCCTGTTGTTATCTTTGAGTGTATGAAAAATAGTACACAAAAAATTACAAGGTCAGATATGGAATTATTAGTGTTTGGACTGTGGTGTACAAGCCATCCAGTGCATGTCAGGAATATGACATTCATAATATACTAATCTGCACATAGCCGTAAGCCTAAAAATGACTGTAACATTTTCAAACATCAAAAATGCATTACTAGAAGAAATAAATTAACCCAAAAATGAACATTCTGTCATCAGTTACTCATCCTCATGTTGTTCCAAACCTGTATGAATGTCTTTCTTCCGTTGAACACAAGTTAACGTGCTACTATAGTTGGGGAGTAACTAGCTAAAAATGACTTTTTACAAAATGTAGCAGTGTGGTGTGACAAAATGCTATTTTTATGTCACATTTTATAGTGCATAAAGCTTAGAAATAATCAAATTCTGGTTTTTAAATGAGAAATTTCTGATCAACACAAATACATCAAATATAGCAAATGAAAGCTCAGATGTGAATGCTTGAAGTGCAAGAACAAACCTCATTGGTAAAATCCTGGACAAACCTAAACATTTTAGTCTCCGTTGACAATATTTTATTTGCTCTATGTATTTGCGTTGATCAGTGTTTACATGTGAATAAAAGCCTAAATTAAACTTGTTAATTATATAAAGGGATATCATATTTCGTCAGAAGACTTGGATTAAACTCCTTGATTCGTGGTTTGATTTTGCGATCTCTTTATGCACTTTTTGAAGCGTGAACATTTTTGTGGAATGGCTTTTAGTGGAGGGACAGAAATCATTTAGTGTTGCAAAGATGAATGAAACTCTTTGAGGTTTGGAATGACATGAGGGTGAGTAAATGATGACAGAATTATAATTTCTGAGAGAACTAACCCTTGAAATCACTTAGGGATGTCCAGTTCATCTGATTCATGGTTCATCTTCAACAGATCAGTGATCAGTTCAATAGTTCAGTGATTTAGTTGAATCATCACTCAGTGTTGTTCCCAAAACTCAAATGAAACTCAAACTGTACAAGTCATTTCACATCTTCATTTTACAGTGAAATAAAGATTTAGTTAAGTAGGGCTGTTTATTGCCTTGTTTTTAATTCACTTGCATAAATGACATTGTTGTTTAGTTTTATCAGCTTAGCGTTTAGTGTAAATTTACACTTAATTATTTTAATTATGTCGCCCCAATATACTTACTGTTTTTGTGCCAGACAAATACTGTTCATTTAAAAAGAATTATATAGACAGATAATTAAATAATATATAAACATAATGTCTCTTTATACACACACACACAAAGTAAAAATAGGGTGTCAAAAACATTTTATATGGAGATATGTGTTTGCATGCATAGAAAAATAATACTGTCCAGTTTATCAGACATATATATTAATATGAAAAATAGGGATTTAAATGCATGGATACAGCTCGGTTTGAGAGAACATGTTGCATTATCATAGACAGCAGGCCGGTTCAACAACAGCTAATCTAAGAGCAAAGACTGGCCATCATGTGTATGTAAATAGCTTGGCAGGAGTAGAGCTGAAGAAATGCGTTCATTCTTACACAACACTGTGAGTGTCATAGCTCTGCTGCAGTGCAGAACCCAAAGACATTTGAGCTTCAGTCAGAGACGCTACTGTCTCATTTATGGACCAGACAGAGAGAATATCTGCAGGTGTACGCAAGCCAATTTATTTCACTCCCGTGCTTTTTTTTCTCAAATTTGTGTTGCCTCAAACTACATGAATAATGTTATGGTAATTCAGCCATATTATTGATGTGTAAGCCAGAAAGAGATGAAGAGACCTGTGCTGATCACAGTCCCCCCACAGTTTCCTCATGATGATGCCGAAATGAACCCTGGAATGAATCAAAGGATCCACCAGCCGCACCGGACCGTCCTACGATATTTCAGATACAAGGGCTTTACATCCCTGGGTTACGGCGAGAATCAAACACAAAGACTGCTTTATATGCCGCATGATGAAGAAGATCTACCAAGCTTACATTCACAAACACCAGTCGGTCATACTAATGGCCGTGCAATATAGAGTAGCCCGGCAGTAAATACTAACTAGCTCTTTAGCGCCTCATTAAACAATAACAACTCGAGCAAATAAACACCCTCCCTAAACAAGCATTATTTGCTCCGCAAAGCACTATTGCAGAGGGCAGCATAACGTTCACTTAGCAGCAATGTGCCCTATAGACTGTGTGCATTTCTGATCCTGCACCAGCACAGACTGAAAACAATCCAAATCAAATATTTCTAGGGAACAAAAAACAAGAGATTTCTTGGATCAGATCTAAATGAATGGACAGCACTTGAACGGGATTGTCCACTGATTTGAAGCATGAAACTCAAAACTTCTGTGGAAATATCTACACACACTAGTTCAAAAGTCTGGAGTCAGAAAGTATTTTATAATGTTTATAATTCATAATGTAGCAAAATATTTTTATTTCAAATAAACAATGTTCTTTTGCACTTTCTATTCATCAAATAAAAAAAATTAAAAAACTTTTTTCACAAAAAATATTAAATATTAACTGATATTAATTGATTTCAACATCGATACTAATTAAAAACAAACAAAAAATGTTTTTCAGGCACTGAATCATCACATAGGAATGATTTCTGAAGGATCTTGCGACACTGAAGACCAGAGTAATGGCTGCTGAAAATTTAGCTTTGTCAACACTGGAATAAATTACATTTTAAAACATATTCAAATAAAAAGCAGTTATTTTAAAGTATAAGGATATTTCAGAATATTAGTGTTTTTACTTTGTTTTTGATCAAATAAATGCTGCCTTTGTGAGCATATGAGACTTCTTCCTTAAAAAAAAACAAACATATATATAAATCTTACCGACCCCAAACTTTTAAACAATAGTGTATAAATCAAAGTGCTAGAAAGATAGATAAAGAATGAATAAATCTGTGTAAACGTGATATAGAAACATCGCTTGGCAGTTTATCAGGCTTGGCTACATGGAAGCCTTCACAGTCGTGTCCTCTGCCTTTTGCCCGCTCAGCTGCTGAAAATGTGCTGGTAAAGGACAGCGGTCAGTACTTACTGGACTCGGGGTCAGAGTTGCCATCACCCTCAGTGCGGCTGTTCGGTGAGGTCTGTTCATAGTACTCTTCCTGAGGGAAGCCCAAGGGCAGAGGCTGGGTGGTGCTGGCACCGCTATTGGGCTCCTGCTCTCCAAGCCCGCTGTCACTGCAGCTCTCCTGAGAGCCGTCTGGGAGGTGAAAGGTCACGCGGCGTTGCGTCTGCTAAAATACACACACAAACACACAGCGGTCAAGCTGAGCAGGCAGTGGCTTCAGGCTTTCAGAAAGAAACAGGAGACTTCATTTTGAATATTTGTTCCTGTGCATCAGAGTCGCAGCTCTGGACCTGCAGCTGTATGTGTTTTAAAATGAAAAAAAAAAAAACATTCAAGATGTCTTATCTTACTCACTGTAAGAAGTGAACACATACATGTTATTTTACAGGTAAAGTGTATACTATTTAAATCATTAGTGTCGAAATAGAAGCCAGAAAAAAAAAAAAAGTATATATATATATATATATATATATATATATAAATAAATATATAATATATAAAGCTTAGAAATGACTTTTGTTAGTGTAACCTATAGTCAGGTTGATTCATAATAAATCATAATCATATTAAAATATATACACACATATATATGGAGCTAAATATCATTCGGCAAAATAAAATCACATACATAAACATAAAATATGAGTATTCAAAATTGTTAATAAAAAAAGTCGGAGAGGATCAATCGGTTTTCAAATTAAATAAATACAATTAAATTCAATGTAAAAAAAAAAATAATACAATGAAATAATTTTTTACTCGAATAAAACCATTTGATTGAGCACATGAAGCACAGTTTTTCGACTATCTGAAAAACACATTTTGAGAGTGGAGTGTGCTGCATGGTGCCAAAGTTATTTTATTGCCAAGTATCATTGGAAGGAATAAACAAAATCACATAAACATAAACTTCAGTTATGAGATGACTGTCAGCAAAAACGGCAAAGTATCATTTGATCCATTTTAATAAAATGGTTCCCGTCACTACTTGAGACACCGGTTCTACTCGGCTGCTCTGTTGAATATCGGAGCCTCGGTTTCTCCCTCTAAGCATTGTGTTTCTGATTGATAGAGACTGCCCACAGTCATGCAAACTAGTGATTCTTTTTCACAAGGCTCCACTGCTTTCGACCCACTGGCCCAATTTAGTCAGCGGAGGAGGATGTGGATCAAGTAGCTTTAACCAGGCAGATCTGGGAACACTATGTAGATTTTCTTGTTCAAAGGAGGAGAACCTCTGTCTGTTCAGGGCTGAGATTGGTATGTAAGGTGACATTTTTGCAGTCTCTTAAATTGCTGGCGGTAAGATGGCCATGGGCAAGCACAGTTTTTACAGGAGTCCTTATAAAACTTTACTTTGTTTTCAATCAAATAAATGCAGGCTCATTGTGCATAAGGGAAAAAAAAATCTTACCAACCCCAAACTTTTGAACAGTAATGCATATATCAAAGTGCGAGAAAGATGTGACGCAATGGTCAAAGACACTTATCTGAATGTTTTCATAGATGAAGAATTAAAAACCTGTGTATACGTTAAATAACAACATTGCTTAGCAGTTTATCAGCCTAGGCGGCATGGAGGCCGTCACAGTTGTGTCCTCTGCCTTTTGCCTGCTCAGCTGCTGAAAATGTGCTGGTAAAGGACAGCGGTCAGTACTTACTGGACTCGGGGTCAGAGTTGCCATCACCCTCAGTGCGGCTGTTCGGTGAGGTCTGTTCATAGTACTCTTCCTGAGGGAAGCCCAAGGGCAGAGGCTGGGTGGTGCTGGCACCGCTATTGGGCTCCTGCTCTCCAAGCCCGCTGTCACTGCAGCTCTCCTGAGAGCCGTCTGGGAGGTGAAAGGTCACGCGGCGTTGCGTCTGCTAAAATACACACACAAACACACAGCGGTCAAGCTGAGCAGGCAGTGGCTTCAGGCTTTCAGAAAGAAACAGGAGACTTCATTTTGAATATTTGTTCCTGTGCATCAGAGTCGCAGCTCTGGACCTGCAGCTGTATGTGTTTTAAAATGAAAAAAAAACAAACATTCAAGATGTCTTATCTTACTCACTGTAAGAAGTGAACACATACATGTTATTTTACAGGTAAAGTGTATACTATTTGAATCATTAGTGTCGAAATAGAAGCCAGAACAAAAAAAAAAGTATATATATATATATATATATA